TCTTTCTTTGTCCTGTCTGTGGGCTGTGTCTACACACACACACACACTCACACACACACACATACTAATACTGATAAAATCGGACATAAACCCAGAGGAAAAAGGCAGGGCAGCGATGGGCTGGGAGCATGGAGACTCCTATTGACTTCTACAGGCACTTCTCCTGGCTCAAAAAGGTGAGTCTCAGGGGTTTGACTTTACTTTCACATGTCGTTTTCCTCTTTTTTTTTTTTTTGACTTTCATCCCGCACTCCTTGTTGCACAGTCTTTTAAAGAGTTTCCAAAGAGAAGATCAGTGTTTAAAGGAAAAGGAGAAGCTCCTCTGTCCCTGTGAGATATTCACTGTCCCGCTTTAGATGCATGTTATTGTCCTGTTCTTATTGTCTTGTTTCCCGGCGATTGACTGTTTTCTGATGTAATTTCCCACAGTTCAAAAGCCGGGCTTCTTCTCAACCCAGTGCAGTTGTTAGGGTGCGTGTGTGTGTGTGTGTGTGTGTGTGTGTGTGTGTGTGTGTGTGTGTGTGTGTGTGTGTGTTATCAGATTAAAAGCATTACCCATCAGCTGATTGTTGTTGACAAAGCAGCGTCGTTGATATCGGAAGATTCAATCAGCGAGAGACTCTTGTCACGCGAAATCTGCCGCTGCTGTTGAGACCCTGTGAGGTTTCAGGAATGAGAGTCTTCAGTGTGGGTTGTTTTGTGATGTCTTCAACAGCAGATGCTTGTAGATAAATATCGGTGCCTTGTCGAGTCTGTGTCGTCCTTGTGAGGCGCTTTCACGTTGAGCTTGAAATATTCAGCTAAAGTGTGCTGATTTCAGTTTCAGTTTCACCAGCAGACGGTGACCTTTGAACTGTCCTTCAGAGGTCACTCAAAGGGAAACGTCCGACAACTGTTCGGGCCATCGCAGTCACAGTCCTCACTCAGAGCATTTGTGTGAAACAATATCCTTTGATAAACGATGCTACACAGTGACTTTTATTTAATCTTAATGATCTTAATCGGATTTTTCAGAAGCTAATTATGTCATCCTGAAGAGCAGCAGCTAGTTTTACAGTGCTCATATCATCGTTGATGCTTCTCTGTATGACCTCCGTGATAAATGTCCATGTAAGAGCAAAAGTCAGCTCAACTATTGCGCAAACACACACTACAGGTGGCGCTCGTTGTCTCTTTTATAGGCGTCCTCATTCCGTACAAGGCACAGTCGTAAATGTTTTTGGCATCAGTGGTGTCATGCTTGATTGTGGGCCGTTACTCTGCAGATTTCTGTCTCTCTCATATCTAATCAATCCATACCCCAAAAAAGCAGATACAGTGTCCTGCTGTTTCCAGCACATTCTGCTCTGTTTCAGATTGAACATCCTGACGCAGCAGATTAATAGATAGTTGATAGAGTTGTGTTCGGGTCTGAGGTCTGTGCATGGACCGTCTCTGACTGTGGAAGAGGGAACATGTCACGTCTTCAAGCCGCCACAGTGACAGTTAGTTTGAGCGATAACTCTACATCAGATGTGCAGCAGTGCAGTTCAGATGATGGCTATGTTCTTTCTCTGTGTGTCATAGTTTCCCATCCATCTGTGTGATGTGTGTTGTCGTGATAGTTGATAGTTGTGTGTTCTGACAGGTCTCATGCTGGGCTGGGCAAGAGGGCTGAAATAAATATCACCATGTTTGTACAAATTGTTGTATAAAAGTGTTTTTCACTGTCAATTCACTATATATCACAACATGGCAAATGTATGAAACACCACATAATGAAACTGATGTTTAAAACAATTATAATTGTGTTTTTTTCATTTTACAATATTTTTCAAGTTCAGGGTAACATTTAATATTTTTGCTAAATAGTCCAGTGTATTACTGAAAACTGCACCGAGTAAGATAAAAACCATTTCCGAACAAATCTAACCTAAGATAAACAAACCCACAAAGAGTGTGTGTGTGTGTGTGTGTGTGTGTGTGCGTGTGCGCGTGCGTGTGTGTGTGTGTTTATCCTGTGGTTTTCACAGTGGCGTGATCAGCTGATTTGATCCGAGTCTGTCACTTTATGTAACATGATGAACAGCGTCGTGACAAATATACATCAATCAAATACAGATCTGCATAAACAAGTAAATGACAATTCATCTGCCGTTGACTCACCTTTAAATTCACTTTACATACTCGCTGGAGTTGTTGTTGATTGCCGGGCTGCTCAGACATGAAATTGAATTGAACCAAATTGGATTTAGAAATACGGTGGTGTGACTGGAGAGAGGCTGCCTACGCTAATGTGTGACATGCGCTGCAGGGCCAAATTACATCACACTCAACGCTGAATTTAAGAGCAACAAGGGGGAAAGAATATAATACATTTCGTATATTTACAGAGCAGTGGCTGTTATACAGAGACTTTTATCTGCGAATAATTAAAAGTAGGTGGTGTCCTGCATGTTGTCATGCATTCTTGGACACTGGGATCATACTGTAAACTGCACTGTATGTCATGAGGAGTCCCACCCACTCCACTGGCCACAGCTTTCACTGGAAATGCTCAGAGCACTGAGCAAGAGATCTGCAAATAGCAAAAAAAAAAAAAGAAATTACTCAGTCGTGTCTCTTCATGCAAATGTAGTTGTATACTTTCAAACTGCTGCCACTCCTCTTACATCCAACCTTTAATATTTGGTCTGCTGCAGAGATTATTTCCATTACTCTCCACTGAAGTATCCAGAAAAGTGATAATGTGTAAGCACCTAGCTTACACCCCCCCCCNAAAATTGGTAACCCCCTACCTTCCCCCCCCCCCCCCCCCGATTCTGTCGCCTTCTCTCTCACGGTTCGGCAGGCGATGACAGACGGGCAGAAACAGACTGGCCTGGTTTCCTTTATCAGCCCCTTCAACTGCTGTGTCAACTCCCTGAAATGCCCCTGGAGTCTCCGCAGTCTGACGGGAATATCTGTGATTACAGCGCATTTAACGCACTTCCTGACTGCTCCCGCCCGAGTGACGAACAAGAAGTCATACCGTACTGTAACATTACTGCAAACGAGGAGGAGTTTCAGACATAAACTCTTTTCCGCACTGCTCTTTTTTCGGTACCTTTGGTGACACTTAATCCAAATATGGTGTCACTGAAGCGTTCAGGCGTTCTCTCTCTTCCCTCCCTCTGTTTCCTTTTCTGTCTTTTTAGTTTACACTATGTTAATAGGTTTAATGTGTCCATATGGTCAGTGTCAGGACGCCCGGTGTGTATACATCCTCTGAGCTCTCTGGCCTCAGCTGCAGACGGATCATCAAGGATTACATGCTGATTTTAGGGCCTTTTGTCTGTGTTCTTAGACAGTCAGAGGTACATGTGAGGTCAAGTCTGAGCATAAAGCTGTGGTGTGCTGAAAGACAGGAACTGCAGGGTGACAAATATACACAGTCATTTGATCCATTGTTAACATAAAAATATGGTTTAATGCAGCTTTAAGTCTCAGCTGTAGTCTTGATATCATTCATTAAAGACCCCCTTTGATGTAACTCAAGTTTTAAACTTCTATATATAAACTTAAATAATACAAGACATATCATGGGTGAAATAAGCTGCCAGTGCCAGTTACAAGCTAACAAACAGCATAAACAAATAAAAGATGCTAACTGCGCTAACCACAGCATTGTGTCATGCGCACTCTGAATGACAGGCACACACTGACTGACAGGGCTGGTGAAAAAATTATGGATTTTTGACAGTCCACCAGTGAGACGGTCTACAGGGGTCCCAAATCCAAGTCACGTTGGCCAGTCACACATGCACAGAGTCGGTGATGATGATGTCACTTCCCCTCTTGATTTATTGTTACGCAAAACAGTGAGGCAAACAAATACAGCAGACAATCTGCCAAATCAACTCCATAGACCATATTAAGAGGGTACTAAGTGGTTGGAATCAAAAGGCATAAGATGAAAACCCCCTTGCCTTGGCAGTGGTGTTGGCTCACAGCAATCAAGACACGCAAACAAACGTTATTCAAATTATTCAGCTGAACAACAAGAATGCATGTTAAATCACGCAGATTGAGCCCAAGGTGGGCCCCTAGAGAAACCCCCCGCCCCCCACCCCCACTTGCTCTGTTACAGCTCAGAGAGGTCAGGGATGGGAACGTTGTTGTACTGTGAAAATCAGAACACAAGCTTCAGTAACATGTTGATAATTTATCGCCATTGCTGAGTTATTTCTGGATAAATGGGAGTCAGATGAGTCGGATGATCTTTCATAACTCTGCGTCATGTGGCTGTAGAAAATCTAAAGTTGAACAGGACCCGCTCTGTCGGCTGCTTGTGCAGGAACCAGTCAGCAGTTTATCTCAGAAACAATCGTGTACCTGAAACATCTGTGGGTTATGGATGCAGCTTGTTGCCTTTGTATAAGTTTATATCTAAGTAAGGCCTTGAGGGAATCTCTTCAAATTCAGCACAAACATTCACATGGACTCAAGCATGATCTTATTAGATTTTGGTGGTCAAAGGTCAAGGTCACTGTGACCTCACAAACCACATTTTCCGCCATTCATAATTCAGGAATTACTTCACTAATTATGGCACACTTTAACACCAATGTCTATTGTGACATTTTAACATCCAAAGGGTCAAAAGTCAGCTTCACTGTGACATCATAATGTTCTGAAAAAACACCTCTGCCCATTATTCAATGCTCTAAACCTAAACTAAACCACGAGCCTGTAATTCAATAATAATAAGTTTGAATTATTCGGATGAGTGAATTATTGAAACTCATAAAATGAGTGAATTATTTCAATTAAATTGTAAACAAATTGCATCTTTTCATACATTGTAGTGTAGTCCATTACTACTGACCTTTTTTTTCAGGTTACCTCGGTCTTTATTTATGACTTTTACACAAACCAGATCATCTACAATCAAATCAAGTTAACTCAGTCAGCTCTATGGAGAAGAAGGTCCAGTAGGAAAATAATAATGTTCAGTTGTTTTTCCTGTGTGTGTTCTCCAGGTGAACCTGTGTTCTCCAGCCAACAATGAATCCTACCAAGAGCGACTGCTCCGCCTAGAGGGAGACAAGGAGTCTCTGGTGCTACAGGTCAGAGCTACGAGTGTGTGTGTGTCTATATATGTATATGTGTTTGTGTGTTTGTCCTGTTTACAACCTTGTTACGTTGATTTGCTCTGAGACCGTTCATGCTTATTTCACAGTTAGAAAGTCAGTTTCACTCTATATACACCATGAAATCACAAAGGTCGCTGGTCCAATTCCAGCTTGGGAAACCTGTGTTGCATGTCACTCCCACCCCCCTGCTCCCTTTCCTTGCTTCTTGTCAGTCTCTTCTTTCATTTGTCAAAAAAGACACAAACAATAATAATTTCTCTGCCTCTGCTTTAGAGTCATTGTATCATCCCACCTTTGTGCTGTAACTTTAGTTCAGTTTGACATGATTACTTGAATCCGCACAGTGAGCATGGGAACCAGGGATTTGTCTGGAGGGATTGCCACACTGGAAAAACAGCTTGGTTTCTTGTCTCTGTTTGAGGACTTTTGTGTTATTTCAAAAACAAAACATGCCCAGACACCTTCACATCATCTGAGCAGGCGGTTACTGATGACTATCACCATCACTGTTACTGTGGCACAGCAGAAGATGATATATCTCTGCACCACATGATGTCAACAGACGTTCTCTCTCTCTCTCTCTCTCTGCTCTTAGATCCCTTTAATAACTGGTTCATACAGCTGTGATCTCCACCATCTTCACATTCCTGCTACTTAAATCACAGTTTTCAAACTGCTCCTCAGGCTCTCTTTGCTTGTGTGTGTTTGTTTTATGCTCTGGGGTTGGCCCACGTGAGTGATCTGTTAGTAATGTTAAAGTTAAAGTGCACCACCCGCCTGGACCACTCAGGTTCATAAAGTTCTCACACACACTCACACCTACTAGTTACATAGTCGTCATCTGATTGGTCGATATCCAAGGTGGCCGGGGCTTATTCCTCCTGACAGGAGATTTTAATTGGCTGTTGACAGTTTGCCCACGTTATGGTTCTTTGCTTTACTTTCTCTTCACCTGCCTCCGTATTTTGTGAGGCGTTGTCTCACCTCAGTGTGTGTGTATGTGTGTGTGCGTGTGTCAGCATGTGCACACTCTGTCTGTTGTAACTAACTTCCGTGTTGCCTGGTTGGGAACTTTCACCTTCATTTGTGTGTGTGTGTGTGTGTGTGTGTGTGTGTGTGTGCGGCTCAGCAGGGGAGAACAGAGGAGGTAAGAGACTAACGTTGGACCTTGGACTTCAGCATTAGGAGTTTATGTATTCACATCAAAACCATATATTGTCTTCTCATTGCTTTGTGGTACTGCAGCTTTAAATAATGGAAGGTAACATAAGGTTGTCTATAACATTGGTCAGGTTTTAGTTTTAGTTTTTAGGTGCTAAATGACACACAGGAGTGTAACTCATTCACATACCTCACATGTTCATTCACTTACTCACGGGGTCATGGTTCACCTTCATTGTCAGGACACAGGCTACCAGATCATTCTCTTGCCTCGTCTCCTGTTTTTTTTCCTTGTAATCTGGATTTTTAAATGAAATACATGTTGAGCCAGAAACTCTGCCACAGTGCCGTGAGACAGAACGTAACTGCGAGGGTAAAAATCATGGAAGCTGAAGTGACAGAGAGTCAGATGCTGTCAGAGGGATTTTGGCAGAGTTTAGTAGTGGAACAAGAGAGTTGTGTTGTGTGGTGTTGTTTTGCGAGTGTGTGTGTGTGTGTGTGTGTGTGTTTTGCAGGAGGTGAATGTGTTGTCAGGGAGATTATAGTAAATGTGTGCCACATTCCTGAGTGACAGACTGCTGAGTAAATGTGTGTTGTTTTGGCGTTGAGGTATGCCAGGGTGAATGCGTGTTTGTGTGGATGAAGGGAAGAGAAAGAGGTGGTGATGCACTGTAGAAAAAAGGTTATATGCGTGTGAATGCAGGACAGATGACATTGTAAAACCCTAAGGATGATTGCTGCACTCTATTGCTCCGTCTTGTTTTCTGTGTGTGTGTGTGTGTGTGTTGTGTGTGTGTTGTGTGTGTTGTGTGTGTGTGTGTGTGTGTGTGTGTGTGTGTGTGTGTGTGTGTGTGTGTGTGTGTGTGCATTTTGTGTCAGGTTTCTGTCAGTTTTCCTGCATCTGTTCATTCAGCCCTCTCTCTCTCTCTGGGCGTGCTAACGGAGTACGACTGTGTCACCCGTTAGGTGAGCGTTCTGACCGACCAGGTGGAGGCTCAGGGAGAGAAAATCAGAGATCTGGAAAGTTCTCTGGAGGAACACCGGCAGAAACTGGCCTCCACTGAGGAGATGCTGCAACAGGTAATACACACAGGTACACACACACACACACACACACGCAAACACACATGTGAGACTAAGCAAGACTATATCTGTGGCACAGAAACTGCTTTAAAAATGTGTGAGAGATAATTTACAGGCCTCCAGGTGGCTAATTACTGTTACGACACCACGTCACATTGGCTTCTTGTTCTTTAATTAAATGAACCCAGAGGAGTATTACTCACCCAAACATCATGCGTATCCTTGAGGTCTAACAAACACGTTGTATGCATTTTCTTCATCATTAATTATTTGTAACTTGAATATTTATTTATTTTCTCCAGGGCGTTGCTGTGTTTCTTGGCGTCCGACAAGTACACAAATCTAAGATTAGTGACAGTTTGGTTTAATTCAATTTGACTAATCGAGACAATGTTTCAAACGTTAAACATGTTCTCGAATGCATCCAAGTTATACTATAACCGAAAATGAAATTATGTCAATTGAATAACAGACGTAATAATTATTAAGGCAACGTAGTGCTTTTAATTTAACTGTAGTCTAACAGTACAGTTTATTTTTCCCAGCTATGAACAGGAGGTGGTGAAGGAGTGAGGTGGAACTGTAAACGAATAAATAAAGGAGCGGCACATTGTTTCATTCACTCCATCTTCACTCTATAAAGTCCTCACCTGTTCACCTCTGTGGTGGGTTTAACACGAGCGACAAGAACAAGTAGATTTTACAAGTCAAAGCTCGACATTGCTCAGTGTTTTTCCTGGTGTTATTAGTTCAGACAGAGTTTACTCTGAAAACAAACCGAGTATGAAGGTGACCTTTGTAGATAAAGAACCACTGTTGTTTCATGCTTCTCTCAATCCAAAACACTTCATACTGACTTTGCACTGTACTGAGTCCTGAAATTGTGTGTTTTATGTATTTCTGTAGCGTGTGTGAAAGGACTTTACAGGGAATGAGCTGCTCACCCACCTGTTTGACTAATAAACAACATCTGGTGAAACTGTAAATGTCGTTACATCAGATAAGACAGAGATTTATTTGGAAATTCATGAGTAAATGATTGTGTGAAGGCGTGTCGCAGCCGCAGTGAGTAACAATTCTTGACCGCCCTTTTAATTGTGACATTGTTTTACTCTCTGAAGGTACATAATGATTTATTTTACTTCGTCCTTGCAGACACTCGGTCACACTTGTCTTCTTGCTCGCACTAAAATGATTGTTTTTACATATGCTAGCAGCTTGTCTCTGTGGACGGCAGTGTTGGTTGTCCTTTAGCTGAACCCCGCTTTTCTCCAAACTGAAATATCTCAACAATGACTGGACGGCTCACTGTTAGATTTTGTACAGACTTTCATGCTCCCTTGTGCAACCAGTGACATTCCCATCAGCCTCAGCTCTACTTGGTGTTTAGAGGAAAATTTGCAAAATGTCAATACGCTTAAACCCTGAACCCAGATGGTGGGAGTGGTATAAAAGTGCATGTTAACAGTACAATCATGAGCGTGTTAGCATGTTGACATTAGCAGTTAGCTCATAATAAATGTACATAAAAAATAAAAACATATGTTAAAAATACAGAAAATTATATTGAAAACATATGTTATATAAATATATATATATCCATCCCAGAGCCTGTCAGTATATGTTGATATTATATACAATGGGGTCCAAAAGTCTGAGACCACTTTCCCAGAATGGGAAGAAAGACATGAAAAACATACATAATCATGTAGAATTTTTATATGCATGTTGTTTTGATAAACTTGCATGTATATAAATTAAATATATACTAATAACATGTTATACCATATATAAAATCATCATACAGATATTTTTAATATATGTAAATATACAAATTTTTCCAGAGGATGTATCTATGTGATAGTAATTTATCCCCTTATAGGTCACATACAGTATATGGCAGCATCACTTTTTCTGTAGGGACAAATATATCATATATTACATTTGTGCACGGGGGGATTCCAGCCAACCCTGCTGGAAGCTGCAGGACCTCTACACTGCAGACCACACATCACCTAAAGACCCATATGAAACAGTGTGAAACTGAATGTCTTCACATCGTTCCAGCTGTTTTCCTTGACATCACCAGTGAGACAAACCCATGAGCTCTGCCAGGCTGAACACAACAAGAACGCAGCTCTGTGTGTTAGAGAATCAGCCTTCTGTCTCGACTCCTCAACAGGCTCTTTGTTCTCGTCACTGTCAACATCGAGGATAAAAAAGGCCACAACCCCCCGTCAAAAAAAAATACTCCACCAGGGCTGTGCCACTCATCATCTTTATCCAGCCTGCTTTTTTTTTGATTGACTAATTTATACAGTCTGCTCTGATTTAGAAAACACAGCAGGAGTAAAAAATATCTCCCTTTTCGTAGGACAGAAGTTTTCCTCTTCTCTGTTTTTCTCACTTGTAATTGTTTTTAGCACCACGCTACTGTTGCAATAAAATGGAAGCCGTTTGCTTTGTAGCTAACAGAAGTGTCATGTATTGCAGCCACAGTTGTTTTCACGGTCTGCAGTGTTTAAAACAGACTGTCGATCTCCACCTGCTGCTGCTGCCCCTGATCTTTACAATGCTCCACGACAAGTGATTGTGAGTCTGGAGGTTTTATTGGGTTAAGCTTCACTGATCTGCAGCTGTTGTCCTGGTTTGTGTGTGTGTGTGTGTGTGTGTGTGTGTGTGTGTGTGTGTGTGTGTGTGTGTGTGTGTGTGTGTGTGTGTGTGTGTGTGTGTGTGTGTACGGTGTGTGTAACATGGTCCCATTTCACAATTAATAACTGCTGGTTAAATAGCTAATGAGATATGAGATGTTTGCTGGGGGAGATGGAGGTGGAGTGTGGAGGAAGATAACAGTCATCTTGGTTCAGGGTTTGTGTGTCTGTTGTGTTGCATTCTGTTGAATCTTTTGTGTGTTTATCATCTCCCAAAATCTGGGCCTCTTAAATCTCCTCAATATATAATTAGAAAGCAAGTTTGAAGGATTTAAAAGGTGACAACATGTCTGCTCCTGCTGCAGGATGTCCTCTGTCTGTGTCACTGTCTCTTTCTGTAGCGTGTGTGTGTGTGTGTGTGTGTGTGTGTGTGTGTGTGTGTGTGTGTGATGAAGACACAGAGAGTCCATCCAGCCATGTAACATTATGTGTCAGTGTCGCAGGGCTGCTACTTTCTGTGGGAACCACGACTAATCTAATAAGAAATAGTCCTGAGTCAGCACACACACACGCACGTGCGCGCACGCACACACACACACACACAGTACAGTTTTCTCATGCTAGTGGGAATCCACCCACACATGTAGTCATAATGTGACTACATGTTCTACTGTGCCTATATTTTGTGTCCTTAACAACACACATGCGCACGCACACACACGTGCACGCACACACACACACACACAGTACAGTTTTCTCATGCTAGTGGGAATCCACCCACACATGTAGTCATAATGTGACTACATGCTCTACTGTGCCTATATTTTGTGTCCTTACCAACACCCACACACACACACACACACACACACACACACTCACGAAGCTTCAGTCAAGGGTCATTATCTTTTTTTGACAAAATTAATCAATTCTTCTTTCCTTCTTCATAGTGGAGCAAAAAGAGCCAGATATTTCATCTAAGTCAAAACAAAGAAATTAATTCATTTTATTTAATTTTGGACTTAATTGACCAGAAACTTTATAAGGAAAAATAAATAAATCCATGTTGTGTCAACAGCTTGTCGCCCCCAAGTGGCCAGAAACTCAAATAATACTTCTTTAATTTGATGGATTGAAATAATTGGAAACTGGACACAGTCTGAAAGTGACAGGACATAATATTTTTGAATGTGGCCAGAGATAATGTAATGTGTATATGTTTTGTAATTATTGGGGTAAAATGAGCCTGGCCACTTGTATGGTCGCCTTCAATTTTTTCATGGAAATCAATGATTTAAGTAATAATGATAGTAGCACAAAGACAACAGTCACCTGGATGTCAGCGTATGATACTTACATGGAGATCAAATTGTCGATCATTTTCTGAGACAAAATGTGAATATTTAGTTTTGAAATCACATTCTTTGGGTGCTAAGATCTGATCTCTGCTGTCTAACTCCGTCATATTTAAACCGTTGATTTTTGGAGGTAAGTGCCAGCTCTTGTGAGGGATCTATAAATGCTGTAGAGTGGATAATTTGTCACGTGCTGTTCTTCATAATTAAGGGAAAGCAAATGTTAGGCAGCTGAGCTGTGGCCACAGAGTCCTGATAAATTACCTCTAAAGACTGCAGCTTACCCCGCTGTAAGTGACACCGGTGTTGCAAACTGATAGTCAGCTGCCATAACTAAGCTGATTTTTTGTGCGTGTGTGCGTGTGTGTGTGTGCGTGCATGCTTGTGTGTGCGTGTGGCTCCTGAGCTAGAATGATTATGGGGTATTAGCTGTCTGTCTGTGGCTGTGGTGTTGACACAATGCATTTACCATGTGATCTTTCCATTTGGAGGGTATGGTATCCCACTGTGGTCAAAGAGAGTCGTCCCTAATGTGTTTAATATGGCATCCACACCAAACGTGTCACCACTCCACTGTGGGAGATGATAATTCTTTATAGATAGATCTTTATACATAATTCTTTAGAGATAGATCATCATAGATAATTCTGTATAGATAGATCTTCATAGATAATTCTTTAGAGATAATTCTATATAGATAATTCTTAATCGAGCTTATATGGCTGTAGTGTGAGGGTTTCCAGAGGGCAGTGTTGTGCACGAGAGATAGGGACCATTCGGCTGTCAGACTGACATGAGCGGGTGGTGCTTGCCTGGAGGACTTGTATATATACTTGGACAGATATATAGTCCGTGCTCAGACTTCCAAGACCCACATGGCATCCGGCCACCAGAACTCTCTGTCCTCCTGTAAAAGGAAAACGAGCCCATAGGTCGTCTGTGCGAGCAGCTCATTATGACTTATAGTTACGTCTCATTGTTAGGCGTAACAACAGTAATTATGGTATCAGGTGATGTAGCATAAAGAGCGACGATGTCCGCAGTGGGAGGAGGTGGATGGATGGGTCCACCAAAACACAGGAGACTTCTGTCGTCAAAAGTCCTCTAAACCTTAAGGAAGTACTTATTTAAACTTACACCGTGATCTTTTACTAAACGTAATCAAGTAGTTTCTGTGCCTAAACCCAATCAAACCACGCTTAGCGGCATGTTTATTATTGTAACCATGACAACGAAGGTCCGGTATGCCCGCCGCTGTAAGGGCACTATCTGAGAAGACGCTCCCATGGGTCGTACCAGAGGATATGATGCGGGACTTATTGGCTAAACATGATCATGTTAGTATAGTCACTGTCAGCATGTTAGCATACTGATGCTAGCATTTAGCCCAAAGCACTGCTGTGCTCAGGCCTCACAGAGCATTTAGCAAAAATTCTTGTTCAGTGTTGTGTTACATGGAGTTTGACCTACTTGCATTGTCATTGTTAGAATACAACAGAAAAGTCAATATGTGTGTATTAATGACTGAGTGATGTACTTGAACACTTAATTTCATTTTCTGTGGCATTTTCTTTACATCATTTAGCAGTAAAATCTAAATTTGCTGTGTTCAAAACAGGAATAAACACAATTAAGTTTATGTTTTTTCACATCTGCCTCTGAAATAATTTTATTTAAACAAGGATGGAGCAAGAAGTTGGATGTCAAAGTGTTTAAACAACAATCTAGGGCGACTCGAGTTTGATTTTAGCAAAGAGGAAGTGGGATTGGGAGAAATTTAGACCAGGAAACGAAAGCAACAGACACACTGAGAGTTTAGCAATGAGATATGTGTTTTGTGTGACTTGTTCATGTTGAGTGGCCTGCATATCCTCTCTCTCTCTCTCTCTCTCTCTCTCTCTCTCTCTCTCTCTCTCTCTCTTTTTAGACACACTTTCTTTTTCTCTCTCCCATGCCAAAGAAGCACAGATATATTAATAGAGTCCTTAGCTCGCCTGTGTGTGTGAGTGTATATATTTAGCTTTGTGGGGTCTGGGCCCCCAGCCTGGCCTGTTCAGTCAGTGTGGGAAGAACATTGTACCGAGTGGAGTCGCATGCTGACCTCTCACTGCGTTGATCTCCGATTCATGTGTGTGTGTGTGTTTAACGTTTCCTATAGGTGTGGATTGCAAGTGTTTCCCATGCATCTAACTCACAGTGTGTACGTGTGTGTTCTCCTCAGGAGCTGATAAGCAGGACCTCTCTAGAAACTCAGAAGCTGGATCTGATGGACGAGGTGTCCTACCTCAAACTGAAGCTGGTTAGCATGGAGGAGACGCACACCAACACACACCCACAAGATCCTACGGACACAAAGCAGAACAAGGCTGAGGTATGGAACGGCAACAAACCTGTGTGTGTTTCTGTGTGTTTCTCTGAGCTAATGCTGCTCAACTCAACAAACTCAGAGCTGCAACTTCTGCATCTTTGATCCAGAAGTTAACAACTTAAATGATGCTCGTATTTAATGTGCTATAAGCAGAGATCCCTGCTGAATTTGCCTGAATATATATTTATATATACCATTGATGTAGAGTTGAATAAAAATAGGTTAAAGCTGCACAAACCTCAATACAACCAAATATACATTCTGTTTCAAAACTTTGTTACACATCAGTTTGATGCTGCATAGGGGTTTGGCAGTAACTGTATCAAACATGAAATGACAGACATTTGTCTATATGATATTTTTTATGGTGAGATGTTTAACATAGCTCTCCCTTTAATATCTCTGTTTGTAGTAGGCCATTGTTGGCAATGTTGCAGATCAATAAACAGGATTTACAAGCTTTTCCTATCAATTTGATCAAGTACTAGGTATTCAATGAAGTAGATTAGCCAAAAACAAGACATTCCTCTCTGGCTATTTTATCTATAAACTGTTTCTCAGTGACATTTCCAGAATGATATCATGATATATCACTATGTTGATATAAGAAATAAGGAGATTTTTTGCCACGTTAGAGACATAGCATTAGGAATGGTGATATGATTGGTCCACCACTTTGGTCCTTGGAGGGAAATGTCTCAACTATTCAATGGATTGACATTTAATGTGGTTCCAAACGTTCATGTACCCTTGCTATAACTTTTTATTTGTTGTCTTCAGCTCACAAATTTTACTTTGCCCAGTGGTTTATGATGAAATACCTGCAAAACGAATTCGCCATTAGCCAGCTGTACTTTGTATTTGGTGCTAATTAGCAAATGTTATCATGCTAACGCACTAAACTAAGATGGTGAACACTATGTCTGGTAAATATCAGCTTGTTAGCATTGTCATTGTGAGCATGTTAGCATGCTGGTGTTAGCATCTAGTTCAAAGCACCAATGTGAGTAAGTGCAGCCTCGTCTTCTTTTTACGATCTTCAGCAACTGAGTTGTTTGAAGGAACCTGTCATTTTACCAGCGCTAGGTCAACATCATTCGAGACTTAGCCAACACAACTCAAGACCACAGGTCACACTGTTACTAAATTGCATAAAGCAGAGTGAAAAACTAAAGTACAGCCTCACAGAGCTGCTGAAGTAGCATGACTCATGGCTTTTAGTCTTGTTTTCATATCTCCCTCCCTTAATGCTGTTATGTAACCATATGATCTGTGATATGATCATGTCTTAAATAATAACATGATAAACTGAGCTTGGTGTGTTTATCCTCTTGTGCATCTGTCTAGCTGTCACGAAAATAAGAGTCAAACATTCAACCATGCTTTAGTCTTTGTTCTTGTTTCTGGGTAAAACAATGACACTAACACTGTTAGGTCCAGTGGTTTAGTCTCTACTGAGACCCCACGTGGCACCTTAGATCAATGAACACCCCCCACCCCCGCCCCCACCCCACCCCAAAATATACAGCTTTAAAAGATGATGCAGATGTTTTTCTGTTGTTGTTGGAATAAAAAGACAAGCCATACACCATTCCAGACATTATTCTCTTGTCTGTGAACTAGAAGAAAACATTCAACCAGGGTTATGTAGGGACACATGTGGCTGCTCTTGTTACTCTTAGAAATGCAGTATAAGGATGTCTGTCAGTTGTTTGTCTGTTTTCAATGTTTTCATTGTCTGACTGCTGTGGTCACAGTACCACCAAAATAGATTGTTTCACATAAACACTAAACTGTCCCTATTAGGTTTTTTGGGAAAATAACTTTCTTGGCTTACAAGTGCGTTTCTTATCTGTAAGATCTCATTTTTTTTCTTACTAAAGTCTTGCTGCCATATTGGTTGGAATTTGTGGTGCTCATTTCTTTGCAAGTTCCACCATCTTCTGCTTAATCCACTCAAGCTGCTGGAGATGCTCACTCGCAGAGAGAAGCTACCAGAGGCAAATACTATAGTCACAGTTTAGTGACTTCTGTATGACTTTATATATTGAAATGAATGGAACAAACTTGTTTGTGTGATATCACCTGTTGGCTGATGGCAGATGATCCGAGCACTAAAGAGGACTGTTATTGGTGGAATGTGTTTGATGTGGACTGTCAGACCGACAGATCAGTTATGAACTTCAGGGTCGTCAGCTGGTCGTAGAGGGGACCATGCATGGACCATGAGGGAAAGTTCATACTAAACAATCCTACCATCGATACATTCTGAGTACTTTTTCACTAAATAACTGTCCTATTATTATTACTATGAATAATCATCCACACCAACATGGACATTAGTTGTTGACTAGGAATGCACAATATGAAACATCTTCCTTATGTATATGATTTGTAGGCTGGGGCGTCTCTGTAGCACCACAGCACTCATGGTGCAAACATTGCACAACAGTGTTGTGACAAAATTGCAGCTCCTGCGATTTAGATGTCACACTTGGCCATATTTTGAACCAACCAATTCAACCACCCAACTCATTGAAGACCTGACTGCTTTGCTCCATCCACTAAAGAGGGAAAAACAGCTTAAACGTCTCAATTCACTGTTTTAAGAAATTCAAAACTTCTGGTTCTTTGGGCCACCAATAATAAAAACAGTTTTCACTAGAAACTCTAATGTTGACAAAACCAATTCTCCAACTTCCAAAACGTCAATCTGAAGTTGTTGCAGTTGTTGTCTTTCATTATTAGGCTTTCCTACAGCAAAAAGTCATACAATAACATCCACAGTTTTATCCATCAATGAAGGATTGTCCCAACACCATAGTGCAGCCAGATCTGTCACCCAGACGATGAGCAGACAAACTTGCCCCCATCCAACCTCATTGGCAGAGGTAATAATGAAATGTGTCTGGATGAGGTACAAGCTTCCGTGTGGAGGTTTTAAAACAAGCCAGGACACATCGAACATGTCTCCAAACAACACCCCCCCTGCTGACAGCCTGCCACACAGACAGCTGACAACTAACCATAAAGTGAACACAAAAAAGAAATCCATTTAAAAAGTTATCCTCTTTTACTTTGAAGGCCTTCAAAACCTATTTTCTCATTAGAGCTGCTTGCTATGAGCAGTGAGTTTCTACATGAACACAGTATTTTCTGCCGAAGTTTGAACAGTTTTGATTATTTTGCATGAAAGATTTCTGCATTTTTGTTTTCAAACTTGTTTCGCACCCAAGTGTAGTCGAGCAGTCTTTGCTTGTCGTCACTAGTTTCTTTGTGGAGACTTCGTTGTGACACCCAGCTGCTCCCCACTGGCACCGCAAGATACTAAAGCTGCTCTTGTGGTTTGCTCGTGTGTGTGTGTGTGTGTGTGTGCTATCTATCACAAGGCATCCAGCGCCCAGGGCTGTGCTTTCATTGAATAAACACGATACAGCATTTTTGACACGCAGATGCCCATTTTCTGCACATGTGGATGGAGTGCGATAAGCATCAGAGGAAGTCGACAGACAGGGAGAGACGGTGAGGAGAGGGCTTGGCAGGAGAGAGGGCACAGGGCAGAGAGAAAAGGAACAGAGGGAACAAGATGAGAGACAGTGACGGACAGACTGAAAGATAAAAAATGACAGAACCTAGGCTGCTGTGCAGATATTGTTTTCTGTCCTACAAGGCGCAAGACACAAAATGAACATGCAGGACATTCACACCACAAAACACTGCAGGACGTAACTGTCAGCAGTGTCTGCCTGTGCAAAACTTAAGTGTGATCCGACTCTTCTGTTAACATTTTTGCCTCCTGTGCAAAGCTCATAATTTTTCCAGTAACTCAATCACAGTAAGTCACATTTTTTAAAATGAGTTAATGAGTAAGATTATATCATTTATCAATTTCAGCAACTTTGGTGCAAGTAAGAACTCATTACTTTGGTGCTTTGGCACTGGCTGTCATTTCTACCCATGCTTTTACATTTTACTCAGCAAAGTAATCTCATGGGCTACAAACAAACAAAGGGTCAGACAATCAAAGAAGTTGTAAAAAGGCAGTTTAGTCAGATTATCTAAACCGTTTTATTTTAACTAGAGTCAGTGCACCTGAAATGTTCCAGTGAGAAACGGCACCTAGTATCAGTGATAATGCTAAATGAGGCTATACACAGAGTTAGCTCCACAGATAGAGACAATATGACCATCAAGTGACAGCACAGGTTAAACTTAGCACAACGTTAGCTTAAAGAAACATTATCATGCTGCACAAGTTAGAGCATTCTGGTTATTATGTTCATAACATTAGCGTGTTAGCATGCAAAATACACCAGACACTGGATATAGACCTGTGCTACATGTGCTACATTAAAGCTAAGACTGAACAGTTTTCCTACTTGAGCCAATCAACATTTTCCACTTATTACTTTTGCACTTCATGCAGTTTTAGGCACAAAAACAACTTTTCTCTTCTCCTCATAAGCTCTGTGTCATCTTGGGTCATTTCTACCTCATGCCTGCGAGTGCATCTCCCTGATGACGCTGCTCAGACACCCATCAAACCACACTGCTCAACACATGTTGGCTGTCATTACAAATTTAGATTTTTGAACCAAGGAGGAAGATTTAGCCACTTCCCCCTTTGGTTATATGTTTCAGTGTTGGAAATATGAATAAAAATGACAACATAAATTTAGCCGGCTTAGCGTGAGTGTAGCTAACAAGCTAACAAACCTTACCAGCTAGCTAGCATTTGCTCACAATGCTGGAGTACTATAGACACCTTAACTTATTTCCAGAAGCTTATAAATCAGTGATGAAATCTGAATGTTGAAATAAATTTAATTTCACCTCTGTTCATTTCATACAAAACTAATGTGAACCTCATGGTGAAGCTTCATGGGATCATGAAAATCAGTAGTTGTTATCCTCTGGGGACCATGAATGTCTGCAGAAAATGCCAATGTCAATCCATATAATAGTTGTTTAGATATTTCAGTCTGGACCAAAGTGGTGGACTGAGGTCCTATTCTACCTAATCACAGACAGCGGCAAACATTAAGTATATTTAGAGTCACATGTCAGACACACGGGGACTTCAGCACTGGGTTGTTCAGAGAAGAAAGAGCTGCTCTCATTAATTTCCTCAGATTTGATTTTCAGGCTCAGGATCAGGGATCACAAGGCAGCTTGTCTGAGCTGGAGGCTCAACCACCTAAATCTCCGTATCAGATGAGCCACTGTGGGGTCTAACAGAGCCGTTTTAACACTGACAGGTTGACGCTTAGTTGGTGTAGTAATGAGATACTGTGTCTGTGTGTCTAATAGACACGCATACACACCCAAACGCAACATATCCGACGCACAACGGTGGTGTTTGGCTTTGGTGACGTTACGATGGAAACTGACACTGGTCTACATTTTTGTCAGCAAAGGTCGTGTGTGTGTGTGTGTGTGTGTGTGTGTGTGTGTGTGTGTGTGTGTGTGTGTGTGTGTGTGTGTGTGTGTGGTTAGTAACAGCTGCAAGGCTCTGGTGGGCCTGAGGAATGTCTGGCATCCATTCTGAGCATTCCTGAGGGCCAAACACTTTCACCTCAACACACAAACTCACTGCTGTGTGATGAGCACCTCGAATTGGGGGCAGCTGTGGCTCAGGAGGTAGAGCAGGTCCACTTATCACACGGTGGGCAGTTCAATCCCCGGCTCTTCCTTTCCCGTATCGGAAGTGTCCCTGGGCAAGACACTGAACCCCAGGTCGCTCCTGGTGGACGGAGCAGCTCCGTCGTTGGCGTCTCGGTGTGTGAATGAGTGAATGAGAGGAACATTGTGAAGCACTTGTCTGTTGAAGTGGAAAAGTGCTGTGTAAGTGCAGCCTCTTTACCATTTCGATTGCCAAAACACATTTTCAGGAACAAGATTTTGAATTTGATGACCCTGCATTTTTTAGTCTTTGTGAAAAACAGAAAAAAAAAGGTTTCACAAGCCCAAGAGTTGTGACATTCCCTCACTTTGTGTAAAAACCAAGAAAAGTTTTGAGGGTTGTTTAGCCGAATGTCTCTTGTTGTTTCTGTTTGTCTGTCTGCAGTATCTCTGTCTTGTCCTCTCTTCCTGTTTTTGCTCTGTGGGCTTATATATTCTGGATCATGTCCCTGTTTCTACTGGGACCAGGTTTGGCTGGAGTTTCAAGTATCTCATAATAAGCATGGTCCTCACTCAGGGCTGGGCTATTACATCGATGTTTGAGACCCTGTAATGGTCCACCGAAAGAAGGATATTGATTAAAACAACACAACAATACATCTGTTTGCCATTTTGGAGGAGTCTGTGGCGGCCTGGTCGTAGCCAGCTGCAGACAGTCCAACAGAAAAGAATACGACAGTTGTTTTAAACGGTATATTTCTTGTGCATACCCACAGAAATTACTAGGAATGTTCAAATCAAGTTTATTTTGGCTCCATTCCAATCTGTGTCCTTTAATGTTGGACATCTGCCATTATTTTTTTCACAACTGCATCTTTTCACATCTGCCCTGAGGCTGCTTACTTTGGTAGAAAGTATGTGTTGATATTTAGGGAAGTTACTTTTGGGTTGCTCAATGGTGTGTTATGGCTTGTGTGTCGTTTGTGCTGTTGTTTTTTTCTCCCCTTCATCAAGAACTTTTTTTAGGATCAGAGTTTTCAGCAATCAAGATATGGAAACAGGCCCAGATACTGACTGAGATTAACAAATAAATTAATGTCTCATTCTCCTCTCCTCTCCTTTCCTCTCCTCTCCACTCCTCTCCTCTCCTCTCCTCTCCTCTGACTTTTCATTTATTCCTGTTTTCTTCTCTTCATCTCACATTTCACCTCCTTCATTACCTTTCATTCGCCCTCCATCGCTCCATCCCTCCCAGTGTGTGGTAAATCTCATCAGTGAGCTCCAGGAGCAGATGTGCAGGTTTCAGGCAGAGATCAGCACTCGCATCCAGGAGAAACGGGCCCTGGAGGAGAGGGAGGCCCAGCAGGGGGAGCCCACAGGCAGCCAAGCCCAGGGCCACCACCCTCAGCTCGAGTTAGCCGGCTCAGGCCTTAGCCTGTCTGGCTCTGACGCCTGGATGCACAATGGAGGACAGACTGTACACGTAGGGAGACTTGATGGATGAACTCATCTTCCCTTCCTTCCCCATCATTTCTTCTCTTCTTCTCTCCTCCCTTTTTAACCAGACCACACACCACCCGGTATTTGGAAATTTCCACAGAATCAAACTAACATCCTCTCGTGAAGTGTCTGCAGAGTGTCTGTGTGTTCTTCGTAGGATGCTGGGGTCACGCTGTACTCCGGTTCTTGCAGATATGGAGAGTATTGATTGCTTTTCCAAATGTTTCCATACATTTGAGGAGTTATTGAGGTTGTTGAAGCTGAAATGTGACAATATCGATTAAGTTAAATTAACCTTCGGAAGCTACATGTAGCTCAGGCTGCTGTGAATTGTTTGCAGGTGGATGAAACTTGCATCTTTCTTTGCTTAACTCCTCAAATATTTGAAGCATTTGGAAAACATGTGTTTCAGCCCTGATCTGGACATCGTCCTTACAAATCCTTATAACTTGGGTTTTGGATCAGGCATAATGTTTTTATTTGATTTGCTGTAGTCTGCTTGCATGACAGTGGTTCCTCCCTCTACTAACAAAAGTTTACCTCTGTCCGTTTCCTCCTGCACTGACCAGGTGGATGGGTCATGTAACGGTTTGTATAACAGTACGTGCGACTGTACAGGGTTTGCTTGGACAGTGGTAACTTTGTGGCTGCCAGATGTGCAGCCTGGATGGCTTTCAGTCCTGCTCTGGGTTCATCCTTTTCCTGGCTGCTGATAACTGCACGCTGTGGTGTCTGTTTCAGGAGGATCAAGTTTCCTTTATTAATCACCGGACTGTTCAGCCCTGGAGACCTTTAACTGCACTGAATGTGAACCTGATGTTTGAATACCCTCCCGTCCAAATTTTTGAATGTTTACAGTTGAGTAATAGACAAATTTGGCTTTGAAAAAAAAGATTTATGCAGTAAAAAGGTGCTGTGTTTTGGTTTTTCCACAGGATTTGTTACAAGAAGTGAAGCTGCTGAAAAGCAAAGTGGAGGAGTTGGAAGGAGAGAAGAGCCAATATGAGAGAAAACTAAGAGCAACCAAGGTACATGTAACACATGATCCAAACATCTGTATCTCTGTCAGTGACTGGATATAAAAGTGACAGTAATGATAATGTGCAATAATAGCCGGAGATGAAAAAAGGAAATAAACACAGCTGCAGGGTTTATGTGATCTGATTATATCAAAACTTTACCAGAGTTTACAAATGGATGTACAGTCATTACTACAACATATATATATAGTAGATCTGAGAAGAACAGGATGATGTAGCTACTGTACACGTTAAAAAAAAAAATCTGATAATATGTTGGACAATAATTACTTATAATACTTAACCTATAATTAAAGTTTTTATCATTTCAAACACGGTACAGAACGACTCATGAAGGACAAGATGCAGGAAAATTAATAAGTAGATAAATAAATCAAATCAGACGGTGGCAAATAAGAAAACACACAAGTGTTCCTGGATACAGGGAAATCGAATTGTAGGTAATCCAAATTATTAGTGTGAAAATAAGTTTAGTATTGTTACACTAAAGTTTCTAATAGTCAGATGAACCATAAAATATGGAAATAATTATTTTTTAAACACATAATATTAAAAGATAATCTTGATCTTGATCGTTTCTGCAACGTCAGGCTAGCTGCGTCCCTGTTTCCAGTGTTTATGCTAAGCTAAACTAAGCTAAGCTAAGCTAAGCTAAACATCTTCATATTTACCGCACAGAGGTGAAAGTAGTGTAGATCTTCTTATCAGACTCTCAGACTTTATATAACAGGGTTACACTCAGATTTTTGCAGCGACCTCATTTCTAAAGTGTCATGTACACTACAAACCCACTTTCTGTATCCAGGATAGTGGATTAGAGAAACCTGATTTTCTAAGACAGACTCCTCCTGGAAAAAGCTAATTTCTTGGACATACTGTACGTGTAACTTGGTTTTCTAACATATTTACATAAACGCATGTGCATGACAAACACTGTTGAATGTGTCACTGTGAATGTAGAGCAGCTGTGCAAAAGCAGAGATCAGACCATGTAGCGAAACAACCTCATATTCATAATTAGTTTAGAGGATTAGTAAGCAGCAAGTATAAATTTCCTAGTGAGGAAATGAGGTACAAGTATGTCAAGATACAAAAAGAGGTTGCTTCCACTGAATTAAACATTAAAAACCAAAGACACTGGTTTTTTTTGTGCACTCACTGAGCACTTTATCAGGAACACCATATCAATACTGGCTCTAAAACAGCTCTTCATGTCATGGATTCACACCAGCACCAGCACCAGCCTGGACTGTTGACACGAGGCAGGTTGGGTCTATTGACAGATTCTGACCCTACCATCTGCTGCCTCAACAGAAATCCAGATTCATCAGACCTTCGTTTTTTTCCAATATTATCTTTCCAGTTTTGTTGAGCCTGTGTCCACTGCAGCCTCAGACTTCTGCTCTTGGCTGACAGGAGAGGAACCTGGCGCGCTCTTCTGCTGTTGTAGCTCATCCGCCTCGAGGTTGGACGCGTTGTGCATTCTGATAGGCTCACCGCAGTTGGAAAGAGCGGCTGTCTGAGTTACCGTAGCCTCTCTGTCAGCTCCAACCAGTCCGGCCGTTCTCCTCGCTCTCCTGACCTGTATCTGCGTGATTTTACGCATCGGGCTGCAGCCACATGATTGCAGGTGTTCCTAATAAAGTGCTCAGTGTTTCATCATTTTATGGACAATTTTTAAAACTAAAAAATTTATTTTTTGAAAACTAAAATTTAGAAAATTAAAATAAATGTTTCTGAGTTCGTAACATGACTTTATAAGAAAGGACCAGCAGGGTTTAAGTGGTTAATTTCTCTCTCCTAACACATTGTTTGTCACTGGTTCATTTGAAGGAGGTCAAACTGCTGTTGCTTTCTCTGTGCTTACAGTGCTTCCTTCCTCCTCTCCTCCTCCTCTCCCTCCTTCACTCTCTGTATCCACTCTTCTTCTCTATTAACCTCTCTCTGCGGCTTGCTCTCTTCACTTTTTTTCCGCTCTTCTTTTCTCCACATCTCTAAATCAACCCTGTCATTACTCTCTTCCTGTCTCTCTCTCTCTCTCTCTCTCTCTCTCTCCTCTCTCTAGCTCTCTATCTCTTACTCTCTCCATGTGTGTTACCAGTCGCTCATGACCCAGCTGTCCAGCCTCAAGCTGACTGTGGAGCACACACAGCTGGAGAAGCAGCACTGGGAGGAGCGCTGGCGCAGCGCACAGGTGCCTTCTCTTCCTCCTTCTCTTCCTCCTCCTCTTCTGCCTCCTGCTCTTCTTGCTCGTCGATTCTCTGTGTTTGTTCCTTTCCTCTGATTAGTCCTTTCCTAACACTCTGCCTCCTTCTGTCCTCTTGCTTTTCTACCTCTCCCCCATACCAGTGTTCTCCATTTGCACTTCTCCACTTCTTCTTCTTCTTCTTCTTCTTAAATTTCTTATTTTGGACTCGCAGCTCTTCTTTCTTCCTCCTCCTGATCCTCCTTGCTTTGCTGTTTGTTGGTCTTGTGATGGCTGAACCTTTGTCACAAGTCACAAATGTTCAAGTAGGAAGGAACGGGAGACAGTTCAAGAGAAAAATTTGATAGAAAAACGTCCAGATTCTGACACGGGTGAAGCACATGTGTTCATGCATCAATGTGCAGAAGCAGAAGAAAAACCATCCGTCTGCCTCTCGCTGTCTCTCTCCCTTCCTGTGAGTCTGCATGGATAATATAAACCTGTACGCCTGTGATGTGTACGCATCACTTGTGTGGTTATGCTGAGTTTATGTCCCCTTGTTTACTAAGGATATAACCCAGATGAAGTAATGATAGACCCTGACTCAAGCTGCTTTAGAGAAACCCCCATGTTGACGTCACAGACGGACAGTGAGTCTTATCTACTCAGAGATGCTTTTGAAAGTGTAAAGAAACCAAACATTTCATAGGCTCTGTAGAATTGGTTCCCTTCAACACATCAAGCTGTTCGAAACTATTTGGTTCAAGAACAGACGTGATTTTTAGCTGATGACAATCACATAATCATATAATTTCTTTGAATTCTTCTGTGGCATTCCCACTTTATCGTGCTTCTATTGTTGGCTCCTAGGCTTTTTATTGTGAAGCAGCTGTTTTCTTGCACCTGTTGCTTGTAACTGTCGTTCTTCAACAGCTTTGCTCCGAATGATGCTCATATGAGTGAACTTATAAATATCTTATATTCGCTTTTACTTGAAGAGGAAGACAGAAAACCAGGTGAGAGCGAGAGGGGTGCAAGCAACAAAGGTGTCCAGCCGGAGTTGAACTAGAGGCGTTGTGGCTGGGAGATACCAGGGTGCTCCCTGATACAGATGGACAGCTGGAGCCAAAACTATAATTCACTCTTTAATTCATCAGTCGTGGGCTTTAGTAGGACTGATGAGAGGTGGACAAACACTTTCTCTGACACGAGTGTCACCAAGCCCTTAGAGTCATCAACACCACCTTAACGGAGATGTGAACTGATGCAGAACAGGATAGTACATCAGGTGCGGTTGTTGCATCGTTCAGATTGTCTTTTTGTTATACTGACCCTTGTCCAGATCCACTGCGAGTTGGTCCTTGAGTGCTGGTGTAGTTTATGTAGGTATGGAAAGAACCCAATTAATGGCAGACTTAATCTCTGCACCAATCCAGTACCTCGTGAAGGTGGTACTTAAAAAAACAGGGTGAGGACTCAAACAAAGACATGCTTGAAATGCAACAGAAATCCTGGAGGTAGAGCTCTGTGACTGGTAGATTTTTATACAATTTACAACTGTAGTTTCTGAAAGGTCGTCTCTGTGTATTCTTGTCAATGACTTTAGGACCTAGCCCTGCTTTGAGTTGCAGTAGACTTGTTCACGGCCTGGTTGGTTTCGAGAGATGCACCTGCATCATCGACGGCTCACGAAGCTGTCTAATATCCTAAAGCCTGTAATTTAACAACAATTTATATCTCATCCCATGTGACTCTGGTGGTTGAATTCTGATTCTGTCCCATCTATTAATGCGTCTGATAAAATACTCTCGTTTCCAAGACGACACATTCAGCCCAGTTGCCTTAAACTCCTAGCTATCCAGTGACCTGGAAGACTGACGCAGTTTATAGACTTGTACTCTGTCCTCCTCCACAGGCTGAAATCTCAGAGCTGCAGCAGCTCCTGGCCTCCAAAGACGCAGAGATCGAGTGCCTGCAGACCCAGCTGCTGGTCAGAGACGGCACGGCCAATGACAACGCAGAGAGAGGTACGCACAACTGACAGTCTGGCCAATCATGTCAGATCCACATCTGTCAGCGAGGATGTGTGTGTGTGTGTGTGTGTGTGTTTGTGTGAGAGCCAGCGATATGCATGTCTGTCAACTCTGATAACTGTAACATCTTCTCAACATGTCCCTCTCTCCTCTGCTGCACACTTGACTTGTTCCCGCCTCTCTGCTGCCCTCTGCTGTAGAGGAGGTGTATATCAAGCAGCTGATAAACAAATGTAAGGCATGGTGTGCTGTTGTGATGGGTCTGATTTCCAACCAAACTGCTCTGACTGTGCAGCCACCTGACAGCTTGACTTTTGCGTTCTTGTCACGACGTGTAATTTCAGTGTTGTGAAGTGATTCTCGCTCTCAAATATTAACAAATCAAAACTCGAAGCTTTGAATTGTTTTTAGCTAAGTAATCACTCGATCAGGTGTCTGGTGGCAGAGTGTTTGGTTTCAGATCGGACCACAGCCGAGCTTCGGTTTGTGTCAGTCGTAGTAAACGTTCCAACCAAAGTGCATTAAGTCTCTATGTCCTTTCAAATCTGCTGGCTGGCATGGTTTCCAATTGGCTTCTCTGAGAGTGCGTTCAGCATGGAATGCACAGTGCAAACTTGGAGGGTGTTATCCTGCTTATAAAATGCCATATGTCAAGTATCTTGCTTTATTGTAGGGCTGAACGATATGCAAAAAAAAAAAAAACATTTGCATTTTACCTTTGTCCAAAAAAATTACAGCCACGATTTGGATATTGCATTTGGCCGTATTGCGATAATATTGCAATTCATTATTCAGCCCTGCTTTAAATAAATTATAAAAGAAAGTCCCTGTGGAACATCTGGCCAAGTAGGAAGAGGTTCACAAGACTGAACCAGAGGTCTGACACGTCTTTCCTTCTCACTCTCTGACCTGCTCCACATCTTTTTATTTTCTGTTAGTTAAATACTCACACATTAATAATCACCTGTCTCAGAGGATTCCTGTCATACTATCTGTTTACCCACTCCTCCCGACCAATCAGAATTTAGGACTCTCAGTGGCCACTTTATAAGCATGTATAAACCTCTGTACGTCAGTCACATCTCGATCTAGCTCTGCTGGTTTGCCTGGCCAGATCATTCAAAGGGGAACTCCAGCAGTTTAGCGTGGTACTTCCATCTGAAGTTCATTTAGACAAAATAAAAAGAGAGTGGTCAAAATAGATGCAGCAGAGCTCAGTGTGATAATATCTGATATTATCTCTGCAACATCGTCGAGGTTCCTCCTCCAAAGCGACAGAGAAGACATTAAACAAAGTCAATACTACTAGTAAACAGATTTTTACGTGTAAAATTGGTGCAGTTCCCCTTTTAAACATGTTTCTGTATTTGAAAGGACGTTGAACTACCGCAGGACTGCTTGTGTGTGTGTGTCTGTGTGTGTGTGTGTGTGTGTGTGTGTGTGTGTGTGTGCGTGTGTGTGTGTGCGTGTGTGTGTGTGTGTGTGTGTGTGTGTGTGTGTGTGCTCTATATTGTTACCAACAAAGGCCTCATGTCTCTATTCCTAAATTTTAGGAATTCAGAAGAGAAATCTTGTTTTGGCATTAGCACCACTGCTACACACAGCACCTGATGTATCATCATAAAAAGCTGCAGTGTTTGTCCCAGGTGATGCTACATGAGCAGTCGCGCTGTCAGTGTGTATTTGTTTTGCTTGTTTATTCATATTAGCCAGGCTGTCATGTCCATTGCCAACATCACATCAGGCACCTATCAGACGCCCTAAATTAACTAGACGTGAGGTTACCGTGAGTCCAAACTAACATTTTAATGCCTTGTTTTTGTTTGGTAGACCAGGAATACCAGAGGCTGAAGGTGGGGATGGAGTCTCTGTTAGCTTCAAATGATGAAAAGGTAAATTAAACCTGTTTTATTTCCCACTACTTCTGTAAGGTCCTGTTTTTTACACTTTACCAGTGTTGATGCATAAGAAGATATATTTGTGGTTTTAAGAACCAAAAACCATCTCAGTGTAGTTTTACATCTCCTCTGGTCACTGTGTCTGAGTGAATGAATAAAAATATAGCCGATTTCAGGTAAACACTCAGAGAAACCAGATTCTGCAAAGGTGGATCCAGGTGGAAGGGGCTTGGACTTTGTTGTGACATCACAAAGTTACAGAAGTCCTGGCGGCTCGTTTTCAGGCTCAGTGTCTGAATACACGCTTTGTGCATTCACCTGTGGACTGAGCGCCTTGATACTTTCACAGAATTAATATAGAACCTAGACCTGCTTTATGATCAAAGAAGACATGGAAATCTCATTTTATATAATATGGGACCTTTAAAATTACAAATGAAAACCATATTTAGAGCTTTGATAGAGATAAAAGGCTCTTTACTTGACTTATAAATATTTGTGTCTTGCTGATAAAACAGGATCGTCGTATAGAGGAGTTGACCGTTCTGCTTGGCCAATACAGAAAGATGAGGGAAGTCATGGCTCTCACTCAGGGTATGAATCGCATCCTTTTTTGCCTGAAACATGAGTTTTGGTTTAATAACAACATAGGAAAACACTGGACAAGGTACTATCTCTCCTCTCCTTCCTTTTAATTGTAATAATATTATGCTGCTGTATTTTTACCCATCAGGGAGCAGTGAGGAGGAGCTGACTGGCAGTTTAAAACTCAAAGCCATCACACACAAAGCACACTCAGATATCCTGAGGTCAGAGGTAAGATTACAAACGACTTTCCTTTTTTTCACAACCACCATTTTAAGCTGTTTACAAAAACTAAAAACAAGACAAAACTGTGCTTTGTCTCTGCATAGATGTCGTCAAGAGGATCTTCTCCACTTATGTTATCTTCATCCCCTTACCAGAGAGAATTGGACATAAGGTAAAAACACATACCACGCATACACACACACACACACACACATTCACACACACGCACACACACACACACCTCTCACGACTTCCACTCCTCACTTCCTTTCATTTGTTGTAGTGTCCAGAACTCCATGGACACGTCGCTGGTGTCGTCCGGAGAAACAAGCTTCTTAAACGGATCGTGGTGAGGAAGAAGCCGTCCGTGTTTGTGTGACTGACTTGTGTTGAACGTTGTTGCGTCCTACTTTGTTCAAAAAATTAAATGTCGCTTTCACCTTTAACCAGCTGTATATGTAATATATGTAATGTAATGTATATATATGTATATATATATATATGTATATATATATATAGGCAGGAATGATGTGATTGCGTGTCTCTTGATTCTCTCCAGGCATCAGCGCAGGTTGCTGTCCAGCAGTCTTGAAGAGTTACAGAGTGGATCTTTACAAAAGGTTTGTTAATGTATTTTATTCTGTTGTTTCCTGCTACTGATTGGCTTTCATTATACTGTAATCTATATAAATATCAGTATAATCAAATGATCTACTCCAATCTGCTTCTGCTTTTTAAATAACCGATCAAAACGTAGACTAACTCTCATTCTTTCTAACCTAGCATTATTGGTCTTTTAATCCGATTGTGTGATCGCTAACCTGCTAACTCTGGGTTTGTGGGTTGTATCTATGTGTGTGTGTTGTGTGTGTATTGTGTGTGTGTGTGTGTGTGTGTGTGTGTGTGTGTGTGTGTGTGTGTGTGTGTGTGTGTGTGTGTTCTTTCCTCTGTCTGTGTTGGCTATAGGCCGTAGAGATCCAGCCAGCTGAAAGTGAATCAGATGTGGGGGCAGAGGTACCGATCTGCTGCATGACTTCACACAACCTAACCTGCAGCTTCACAAACAAATACATGCACTGGACACATACATCGCTTCTCATTTAATCACTTGATTTGACTTCAGTCTGCAATAAATTCATAATACCATATATTTTAAATGAGGCTTTGAGGTGCTTGCTTGTGTTTTTTTTTTTTCATGCTCCCATCATTTTAAACTATGAAATTATTCACCTGCTATTTGGTTGCATTGCATTCTGGGCCACCAGCCGAAGCACTTGAAGCTGAATATATCTGAAATGAAGCCACAGAGAGGTATCAGCTGATACTGTGTAGGTTGTATGTTTAACATCTGTGACAAACTGTGTGCAGCCTACAGTTGCTGTGCAAATTATTTATTTTAATTTACAAGAAACAAATGTGTGCTAGAGAAAGACACAGTCTCTCTGCTGCTAGGTAATAAGAAATATACAGTATATGTTGTAAGTTCTTCTTGAGACTTTGTGTTGTGTTGCACAGAAAAATTATGTAATGCTCTCGGTGCCCTTTGACCTCTTGTTCCCAGTCCACAGCTGAGTTTCTCCTGTGTGACCACTGCGCTTTACTGCCTGCTCATAATTCACACACATACCCCTGTGCTCCCACATGCAGGCAAAGCAAATAGTCATACCATGTATATACACACACACGCATGGAAGGGCCAAGACCCACCTGAAGTGGCTGTCAGTAGTGCTCGGCGTCATGGCTGCCTCCCAGCTGTTTCTTTCTGCTGGCCTTTCTCCTGTGATTCCTTCAGAGCCCCGGACGACTTTGATGCCTGGGTCCAAAGGAAAAACACTGTTATGCAACGGAGCAAAGGAGCAAATCAAACATGACCCTGCTGTTATCTTATGAAAGATATTTAGATGGGGCTGACTGGAGGTGGAAAGGAAATGTGATACACTATAATATATACACATCAGGAGCAGAATTCATTCCAGCACCATACCTTCATCATACATGATGGTAGTTCATTTGAAATTGGATGCTACACTGCCCCCCCCCCCAAAACAAAACTGACTTACTGTTTTGCGTTTTTCATTCTGCAGAATCCTCAAATGGAGCTGAGCAAGTACCAGACTCTGCCGGGGAAACTGAGTAAGAAGAGTGAGCTGAGGGTTGAGCTGAATGGAGACGGAGAGTATTTATCTCCCGTCCAGCTCTCTCCTGTTCACAGCAACGACCAGGGCTACAGACTGAGTGAGTTTCTACATCACTCATCATCACTTTCAGTATTTCTTTTTTGGTTTCTAATGAAAGGGGTTGGCAGAGAGGTTTGTGGATTATCCAGAGGGATATTGACCAGACTTACATTTTGGGGAAATATGTTTATCCACTTTCTTGCAGAGAGTTCGATGACAGTCTCGATATCACTCTCACGCCTTTACAGTAAATATGAAGCTATTCAATCCAATTCAGTTTTATTTGTATAGCGCCAAATCACAACACATATTATCTCAACGCACTTTACAGGGTAAAGTCAAGACCTTTATGATATTATATAGAGAAACCCAACAGTTCCCACAATGAGCAGCACATGGTGGCAGTGGTTTGGAAAAGAGAGCGAGACAGACGAGGAACAGCTCTATATACTGTTGATTGTTGATTGTTATAGTGAAAATAATGGTGTTATCAATTATAATGATATTAATAATAATATTGAGTGTTGTAGTGGCAGATCTGGATCTTGCATCTCCAGAAACAGAAAATCCTCCTACCTGTAACGCTCAATAATTATTACATTATATCTTGTAAGTGTGAAAACCAACCAAGTTGTAGTTTTGGAGATTTTTATGTGCTGGGTTTTCGCGGCCAGGAGCAGTGACCCTCTGGAGTTTTTGCCTGCCACACAGACAACAGAGTGGTATCAGGCTTCTCATCTACCTCTTGGCAAGAAAAGCAAAGAGTTTAAGAGTTCCTTTAAATGTTGGTTTTGTAATTATGCAGAATAGAAACAACTAACAGGCTGAATAACTCTTTGTCAACTAACTTTGCTCCGTCTGCTTCCTTCTCTGTGCCCTGCCTCCTCTTCTCCTCCCCCCTCCCCGTCTGCCTCTGCTGTCGGATTGCTCTTTTCTCTGTTTGTGTTCTGGCTGCAGTTCGCTGCAGGAGCGCCAGTGCTCCGGCTTTAGGTACTGTATGTTCAAAAATCAGAAATTCAAATGTCAACACTGCAAAACACACTCCACTCAATAGGCTAATGTTGTTGCTCTGACTTTGAAGTCATAGAAACTTCCTCTGACAAGCAAAATTCATCATATCAGTTATCTCCCGAACAAAAAGCAGATTGTCACCAGTCACGGTCAAACGTCAGAGGTGAGTAAAGTGTTTTCACCGAGGATCAGGGACCTGTAAAGCCAGGATTATTAGGACTCCTTCATGACTCAGAGAGCTGTCGAAGATAATGCTCGGCTCTCTCACATCAGCATTCACTGAAAGTAACACACACACACACACACACACACACTCTCTTAAAGCTAATAGGCATATAAGCACACAGCCACCCATGTATCTGCCAACACAGAGCCAAGAGCTTAAAGCAGGAGGGTAATCAGAGAGCTGTGAGAGGGCGAGGAGTGCAAGCTTAAGGATGTGTGCAGTTCAACTAGCGTAGACATCCCACAGTAAATAAACAAGGATGCAACCTGACATCCCCACCCCCCCCACCCCTCCTTTGCTCTCACTGGCTCACCCAGCTCGCTCTCACTGACGGTCGGAAGCAGGATGTCGCTGAGAAGGAGCAAGTCAAGCAAGTGCTCAAAGTAAACAGGAGAAAAATAAAACTGTCTGTAATGAGGTGGCAACAGAATTAACGCTTCCATTGCCTGAGTTAGCAACACCTTTGTTAAACTCCTCCAGGAGGGAAATGCTGGAGTCTCACTCCAAGGATGCTTCACAAATCAAACCCAGTACCCCCTGACTGTGGGACGCTCTCATTGCTCTTTAGGTCGTCCTTTCAGCTCAGGTGACCTCTCGTGAAAGCTTCAAGGCTTAACAAAGAGCCACCCACACCTCCCAGTATCTGTAGAGTAAATATCGGTCTCATGTAAACAAGCAGATATAATCTGGTCTGAGTTTCTGGCCCAGTTTGGGGTCTGCCTGAGGCTTGTAGATTTGCATGTTGCTGCTTTACATATTTAACATGTATACATGTATTTATTTTGGAGATAAAGGGGGTTTGACTAACGCTGGCTTCTGATTTCTTTCTGTTTGCTTTCTTCTTACTTCACTAACCTCCTCTGCCTCAGGATCTCCTGGAAAACATGACCTCTATGATGTTGGTGGGTATTGTATCTCAACCCCAGTGTGTAGTACTCTGTACCACCCCGTTGAGATGAGTGGTGACTGGTTCAACGTACCCAGAGTGTTAGATAGGTTACTTGTATCTCTAATATTTAATAGAGTGAATACTTTAAAGGTCCCATATTATATAAAGTGACATTTCCATGTCTTATTCAGAAACTGAGCCTTAAAACCAGCCGTCAGGACTTCTGTAACTTTGTGATGTCACAACAAAGTATTCACCGCTCTCAGCCATGCCCCAAGCCCCGCCCACCTGGACCCACCATCCAGCCTTGCAGGATTTGGTTTCTCTGAGTGTTTTACCTGAAATCTGCTTTATTTTTATTGGTTCACTCAGAAAACAGTCAGCCAATCAGAAGAGAGGCTCAGAGCCTCCTCTCTTCTGATTGGCTCACCGACCTGTTGTTGCTAAAGCTCCAGAGAGAAGCCTGAGAGAGGAGATGTAAAACTACATTGAGATGGTTAATATATCTTCTAATGGATCAACACTTCAAATAAATCACTGGTGTAAAGTGTAAAATGTGAGACCTGATTTGATGTCTTTGTACATCATTTTGAGAAAGAACCAAACAGATTTTGGGAGACTTGTCAGTTTACCTACTTCCCTTTAAGTGGTCGTATACGCCAAAATTGTCCATTAAATAAAAAAAACCACGAAAGATCAATGCCACAGTTGTGTTTTTTTTACAAGTAGGACAACCTCCTAAAAGGGTGCTTGAACCTTGAGCAGGAGAGCTTCATGTGTTTGGTCTGTATCGAGCCAAAAAAACACTAATTTCCTTCTGGATTTCAACATTCCTGTTGTGTTTTTCTCTGGCAGGGCCTCCAGAGAAGCTGGAGGAGAGCGTCCTTTCAGACCAGTCTCCCCTGTCCTCTGGAGTGGACTCTGGACAACAGTCGCCTGTCTCACCAGAGAACAGGAAGACTCACAGAGGCATTAAGAAACTCTGGGGGAAGTAAGTTTTGAAGATACATATGCAGACACACTGTATGGCAATTTCTCACCCTATATCTTCATGACTTTGACTTTCATTCACTGTCACAGTATTTGTCCTTCTTTCCATTTTGCCTTCACACACTCATTAGTATTTCTGTTGTCCCCAGGATCCGCCGCAGCCAGTCAGGTAGTCCTGTCCAGGTCCACGACCCAGAGCTGGGAGAGTTCAAGAGGGGAGGCTTCAGAGCCACAGCTGGGCCACGACTGGCTCGTCCAGGGAACACACGGTACACATGCACAACTTATATACCGACATACACTTTCCTACATGTACACGTGTGTAAATAAAGTGAAAAGACACTAGACTGAAGGTCAATGTTTAGCTCCTACTTGGAGCTATATGTGGTTCTAGGTACAGGAGTCTTTATTTAAAACACATTTCTCCTCAGAGACCTGAAGATGCCTTTTTCCAAGTGGAGCTCGGAGCAGGTGTGTGACTGGATCGAGGACATTGGACTCAGTCAGTACAGCGTCCTCGCTCGCCAGTGGGTCACCAGCGGTCAGACTCTACTGTCGGCCACCCCGCAAGACCTGGAGAAGGTACGCACATACAGCACATCACTACTCTGCGTGATGCATCTGAGACATCTGTGTGGCTCATTTTGATATACCTGACAAAATAATCCTGCGTCCAGCCTGTCACAGAGTTTTCAGTTCTACCTGTCCGATCGGTGTTGTTGTGTGTCAGTCTGTTTGGCATTTAGTAACGCCTATCTCTGCTTCTCAACCTCCTCTTTAGTTTCGCCTTCAACACTGTCACCTTGCCTACCCAACCTCTCTCATCAGGGTTGTTTTAATTACAGTTAACTGTATAATGCATTGTGAAGGTTTCTTGACAGTCTGGGATGAAATCAGTCATTTCTCTATATCTGCACAGGAGATGGCAATGAAGAATCCGCTCCACAGGAAGAAGCTCCAGTTAGCCATCAAGACGCTGAGCAGCAAGCAGCCGGAGAAGTCCGCAGAGCTCGATTACGTCTGGGTCACTCGTATGTGCTGAAATAAAAGACACGCAAACACTCGGTGGCAAAACTTTATCCTGAACGCAAACTGAGATATTTCATGTTGCAGGTTGGCTCGATGACATCGGACTCCCTCAGTACAAAGATCAGTTTAATGAAGGAAGAGTGGACGGACAGATGCTGCAGTACCTCACTGTGGTGAGTTTGTAACGAACGATGTGAAGGGCAAACAGCTGCTGTAAAGTTAAGCCTTGATGGAAGAGAAGTCGCTCACTTTGTCTTTCCCTTCTTGTTTTGACACTCACTTCTCTTTCTCCTCTCCATTTCAGAATGACTTGTTATTCCTAAAAGTGACGAGCCAGCTCCATCACCTCAGCATCAAGTGCGCCATTCATGTCCTCCATGTCAACAAGTTTAACCCTAACTGCCTCAAACGCAGGCCCAGCAATGAGGTAAATGAGTCGTGTGTGAGTGTGACCATTATTGTTTAAATTGAAACTTCCAGTGTTTTTTAATTTTTAATTTTATTTTAGAGATCCATGTTTTGGCACATCTCGCCTCCTGCAGTGTTTTAAAGTGTTTTCCTTGACAGGTGCCAGAACGTTGATCTCTACAATTTAGAATAAAAAGATTGCATCCAACTTGTGAGCGTGTGGGTTTCTCTTCCATGTTGCAAGTTTTAGTTTCTTCAGACCCTCAGATCATCAGGAACTAGTCTTACTGTCGCCAGAGTCAACTTTCAGTTCTCTTAAATCAGGGCTGTTGTTGATTATATAAAATGTATTTATGTGTTGTATCTGTGCTGCAACGTTTCATTCAGTTTAAATGTATTTTACTCTTTTTAAATCCAGTTTATATTTTTCTCATATTACCGTGTGTTTCTTACAGTTACATCTTGTCTTCCCTGTTTATGTCTTACTCACAGCACTTTGAATCACCTTGTTGATGAGAGGTGCCATAGGCTACAAATAAACTTCCCTTCCCCTGCCTTAACTCCAAAACATCTTTTTACATGTTTGCTATTGTTCGCTAACAATTTTGAATTCACGTTTTTATAACACAAATATTAGAATAACAAATAAATAATAAAATAAAATAAAAAATGTAATCTGTGATAAGACTTTTGAACCTAGCATGTGGTGTCTAATCTGTCTGCAAACAATTCTGTCAAAGAAAAGAGAATAAAATCAAATTGTCTGACTGTGGCCGTGGAATTTGAGATGTAAAGTACAAATTTCTCTTTTTCTTGTCTCATTTCTGTCGTATGGTAATCCTTCCTTGTGCATGTATGTGTGCACTCTTTTCCAACACATCGATTTCTTACTATTTAAACCACTGTTGAATCTCCTGTGTCTTCTTCTTTTAATGACCATTTGTGGGTGTGTGTGAATCTCTCTGTGATCCCGTACAGTCATCCATGCATGTGTGTGTTCCTGTGTGTGTGTTTCAGAACCAGTTCACTCCCAATGAGGTGGTCCAGTGGTCCAACCACCGAGTTATGGAGTGGCTGAGATCAGTGGACCTGGCGGAGTACGCACCAAACCTGAGGGGCAGCGGCGTGCATGGAGGCCTGATAGTGAGTACATACACTTTAATAACACCAGAAAAACACCAGACATTTTAAAGAAAGAAACTTAAACTCATCTCTTCTCCCACAGATGCTGGAGCCTCGGTTTAACTCCGACACGATGGCGATGCTCCTGAACATCCCTCCTCAGAAAACACTGCTGAGACGCCACCTAACCACCAACTTCAACAGTCTGGTGGGAGAACAGGCACAGCAGGAGAAGAGGGAGTACACTGAGGCGGTGGGTTACACCCCACTCAGCATCACGGCCAAAGTTAAGGTAAGAAAATATAAACACGGGTATCTTTACATGGCTCGGAGTAGAAGAGGAAGCAGCACAAGGCTGCAGTAGGAAAACACACACACAGCTAACCTGCCCCCCCCCCCCCCCCCCCCCCCCCCCCCCCCCCCCACATGTGCGAGAGAAAGCACCTTAATCCGTGGTGAGACCTCCATGCGTCAGCTCAGTTTAAGCTGTGAGCCCTTCAGTGTTTTTAAGCCTGTGGGAGCAGAGTAAACCCGGGGCTGCTCTGCTCCTCCTCACAGCTTTAAGACTCAGCCATCAGCCGTAGCCTCAGCACTAAGTCTCTCTGTGCTCTGCTGAGGAAAAACAGAAAGAAATAATCCACCCTAAAACACAATCCACACTTGCTGTTGACCCATTTATGACCTTGGACACCTAAAACTCAAATTTCTTAAGGTGCTCCATAAATATTTATGTGGGTGGTTGTATGTTACTGTGGACCTTAAAAAACACAAAAAGAGATTTATTAGTGTGTGTGTGTGTGTGCGTGTGCGTGTGCGTGTGCGTGTGTGTATTTTCTCCCTGAGGACCAGCCAGCTACCAAGTGATATCCCACACTGCTTTGTGATAATATCATAGTGGCTTTAGTCAGCAAGAGCGAGCTTAGAGGACACATTTATAAAAGCTGCTGTGTGTTGCTGCCTGGTCTCACTTATTACTCACATGCGCTGAAGGAAAAGAAAACGTGGATACAGAGACGGGACATTTCAACAGCACAGAACAAAAGACCGACTCTCACCTGGCACTAAGACGTCCCTTATTTCATGTACTGAACACAGTGAAATGCTTCTCAAATCATATCTCACGACAGCCACTATATTAACATCTAACCTTCCTCTTTGCCAGTTTGCTTGTGCTGTTTCAATTTAGGCACAAAACCAAGTACCTCGTGTTTGTGTGTGGACTGGAGATACGCTGCTTCTCAGTGTTGTTGTTAGAGGACATTTTATTACACAATCATTTGATCTATTGTTAATTTTAAAATACTGATTAGTGCAACTGTAATCTTTTTTTTCTTCCTTTCAGATTGTTAGTCATTTTGTTCTTTCATTTAAATATTTTTAATTTTACAGTATCACATCTAACATGACAAAATATTGATACCTTGACATTTGCACACCTTGATTTTTTACATTTCCGTAATCTAACGATTCGGATTGTTTCGGTGTGACAGTCAAATCCTTTGTCTTTCTTTTATTTCATTGCAGCCAAAGAAGTTGGGCTTCTCTAACTTGACTCACCTCAGGAGAAGACGACCGGACGAATCCACGGATTACGTCTGTCCCATCGAGTCGTCCTCCCCACAGTCGGGACAGTCTGTGGTGAACGGGGTGCAGATGCGTCCCTACGCCGGCTTCAGAGGCCTGAGTCCCATCCTGGACAGAGAGCCCGACCGCTCCAGGGAGCAGGTGGGGCTCGACGACAGCAGACCTGACCCATCTCCATGACAACAGCTTTAACAACGACATGGCGATAACGTGTCAACACCATGGACGGCTATGTTGTCATGCTTTCAATCAGCTGCCACTGCTACTGCTCTGCTTCCTTTGCTTGCGGCCCATAATACCTCAGTCCATCCCCTCCCTGCTCTTTTGAACCCCGCACATCAGCCCGACCCTGTGCCTTACTCCTGAAGAGATTCAGAGACGCCCAGATAAACCTGCCTGACTGTTTCACAGTCACAGCTGCTTGTCATGAAGGGTGTACTGAAACGATGAATCTAGCACACTTGAAGCATTTTGATTTCATTTCCAGTCAGATGCCTAACTAACCCGACCTCAGCCTCAAACCTGTGCCATGATCTAATTCATCAGGACTCTTCCTGTGACATCACTTCCTGTAATCCATACAGTATATATGGACATCTCTTGTTGTACAGTATTAAGCCTTTGTTCTAACATTTGTGCATCGCCTTTAGATGATTTTATATGTGTGTGTGAGTCAGTCGCATAATTTTACTATTGATTTTTCAGTTTGAATCCAGCTCTGTCACATGGTTGAAATGAACTTGTGCAATATTTGCATAATTATAATGGAGGGATTTTATTTAATATTTATATAATTGCAGAGCCAATTATAAAATAGCATGTATTGTTTGAAGCCTGAGGTGGTGATTTTGTACTGTTATTTTCATATTTGACTGTAATAGTATTTTTATAGTAATGAAAATCCTGCCCCACAAAAGGAAGCGTACATGTGCTCATGTAAATGTCAAAAAAAATTATCAAATCATTTAATAAACAAAATCATATGTGTGTAAAGATGATTCCTTCTTTTTATACAAAAGGCAGAAAGGAGGTGATTTGAGACAACTGAGATGTAGATTTTGTACATTTTTGGATGTAAAGAAATGTACTGCTGCTATTCAGAGCCACAGCTGCTGGCATGGCTCAATAACCTGCATCAACCATTAACCTGCTTTCATCTTCATCATCATCATCATCATCATCATCATCATGATCCTCACCATCATGGTGGCTGTCATCGCTGTTTATGACACCAGTTTCCCCTTCGGCTGACCAATCTGTGGCTATAGACGGCTGCTGTGCTGACCATCACCATGGTAACCCCGTTAAAGTTGACATGAGAAGTACATGTTTGAGCACAGCTCAGCATGTGGCTGCAGGTACAATCCTCATGCATTCAGTCAGCATTGCACAGTACAGTAAACTTCTGCTTACTCACATGAATGAAAAGTTGTTTTTTTTTATTGCACTAAAGGTTATGAAAGCTCATCATTGTTTCTCTGCATGTGTGTCTATAATCATCACTTGTAATGTGTTCATGAGACATTGTGCGTGTGTGTGTGTGTGTGTGTGTGTGTGTGTGTGTGTGCGTGTGTGTGCGTGTGTTTGCGTGTGTGTTGCAGATGGCGATTACAGAGGGTACCATGTTGCAAATAGAAGCTCTGTCTGAAAGCATCAACAACCTCACAGTAAGCACCAACACACACAGGCTGCTGGTTAATGACTTCTGCAGCTGATTCACTCACAAAGTAAATGCTCCTCATCGGTTGTAACAGACGTTCTATTCACTTAGATGGAAAACTCAAGAGTTTATCTGAGGGAGAAACCACATTAAAACACCACAAATCTGTGTGGAAATTAGAAAGTAATACTATGACTAATGGTGTGAAACCTGCTTGCTGGTACTTCATTACTTGCTGTTATCAGGCAGATGCCAGCCTTGGGTCTTTTACTCTTGTTGTCATTTGCTGAAGTAATCTTAGTAATTGTACTCTAAGGCTTTGTTAAGATTAAATCATTTGTCCTTTTGTTTTTTGTTTTTTCATAAAATAAATAATTTAAATTTTTATGCTTCCTGTGGTAACACTTGCCTATATTAATCAAACTGACTGATAATAAAAAATAGACCCTTTTCACAGAAGATATTTTGAGATGTCATAGCATTAAAGCACAGGTGTAATAAATGACATTATTAATGGCTGTATTTGTATTGTTGAGCCACTTTCAGGACCTTGGTTTGTGCATATTGGTTCACTGACACACCGTAGTAGAAAAGGTACCCAGATCTTTTATCTAATTCAATTTTGTAAAACCACAATGTAAAAAAATCCTCTGTTACAAGTTTAAAGCTTTCATTCATTTTTTTCTAAAGGAAATTGTTTAGTTAGTCAGCATGGTAAAGCTACAACCAGCAGCAGTTAGCTTAGCTTAGCATTAAGACATAAAAAAACAGAAGGGAACAGCTAGCCTTGTTCTGGAAACCAACGCCTATAGCACTCAATAATTAGCATGTTTTATCCCACTTGTTTAGTTTATACCAAGTCAAAGTGTTAAAACTACAAGCTGTGGTTTTGCAGGTGGTTAAGTGCTGACAGCCGTGGCTTTTTGAAAGACACTGCTCAGCAAAGAGACAACCAGATTTAGTTTGGACAGAGTCAGGCTAGCTGTTTTACCCTGTTTCCAGTCTTTCTGATATGCTAAGCTAACAGGTTGTCAGCTCATATTTGCCATAAATAAGCACATTTTCCAAAATGTTTACTTAGTCCTTTACAGATTATTTAAGGTAACAAAAACACTAACTCAATAACTGCAAGTGCTGAATAAATCTTTGTCAATAAACTAAGTTGCGGAGCTGCTGACAGGTGGACTTTCTTTCCTTTGGACAAAGCAAGGCTAGCTGATTTCCCTGTTTCCAATCCTACTGCTAAACTAAGCTAATTGGTTGCTGACTGTAGATTCATATTTAGCATACGGTCATGACATTGGCTTCACTTTTGTCATTCAACTCAGTAAGAAAACGAATAGGTCATAGGCCATGAGGTCAAACTATTCCTTTAAAATAAAAGTAGTAAAACCACAAAGTAGTAAAATATATTAAAAATACTCATTAAACAGACTAGTCTTTTCAAAATGTTATAAATTACTATTGATTTAACTACTTAACGTACAGTTGGGTAGTTTTATGTATTATCAATGTATATAGTAGAAATTTAGAAGTAACATAACTTATGTAAATATGTGTATTTAACCCCCAACTAGAGTGGAGACATTGTTAATTTCACCAGTTCCAACTGTGCTTTTCCTGCTGTGACAACTCACAATGTGTTCTGTGAATGTTTTTTGTTGCTTACTTGAGCTGAAGCTGGTTTTGCTGACTTGGGATCAGTTCTCTATCAGGTGCTATAATTTATGTTGTGTAGCATTTTTAAATATAACTATTTTCAGCAGTAAATGAGCCCTTTGATGATACAATTGGAATCTTTTTCTAATGACAGTATTCTCAAAAGCAAGACTTAATTTCCAATAAGGTCTTATCATAAATCGATATTGCATCAAAGTTGGCTCTTGAAAAATGTTGCTGTGTGTCTGCTGGAAAAGCTGTACCACAAAAAATAAAATAAAGGTGATAACTCAGCTCAGAGCTAAACACCAGCTCCAAAAATCTTTAACCTGTTGCCACTCCCATGGTGCTTTGCTTCCAGTACCTGCTCAGCCGGGAGGAGCTGCAGAAGGAGCTGAGGCGGTCTCGGACGGCACTAGTTTGATGGACAGTGACCTGCTGCTGTTGGCTCTCTAATGCTGTCAATCAACCACAGAGACACCTGTACCATACCTCAAGCCCCGGCCTAACACAGCTGGTTACTTCTATTTCTACTAGCCACTGATACCTCATGTAACATCTGCATTCATTCTGCAGTCACAATGTAGATACAATGGACCTAAAAACAACAGTGGACTTGAAAACAATGTTCAAGGGCCGCTTACAAAAGACACTTTTTTTATTTTCTACAATGATGAACTGAACTGTTATTCATAAGCCATTTGGGGCGTTTCTTACTGTTTTTCTTGTTTCCCTATGCAAAGTACCCTCTAATGATCTTGACCACTGTGTGCTGTACATAATGTGTACCGTGCTGGTATTTCAAAGGGGACAGCAGGGTCAGATGAACCACCCCTTGTTTCATGACAAATGTGCAGACTGTAATTCTTTTAACTGGAATCTTGAGTGCACAAACAGCAGTGCATAATTTAAGGCCATTTTGGAAAATCTCATTAGAAGAGCCAAAGGAGAGTTAATTCAAACACACATATAGACAATCAAGGGCGTAGGTTTGGACTCAACATTGGTAGGGACACAACAACCCCTCCAACCAAACCGTTTAATAACATATAAGATCTGGATTTACATTCAGGAATGCCCATACTAATGTAATATATGTACATGTGTTGAATTATCATAAATGAAATATATATACATATGAAGTAAAATCATATATGTATTTAAAGTCCAGCCTATATATGTAAAACAAAACATAAGAAACCTGTTAGAAATCAGAACAATAACATATATTGACATATACTGTATGTCTAGCTAATAGAAACATGTGTTTTAGTATGCCTGTTTAAATTAAAGACATATTACATAAGTATATATCCATCTCAAAGTGTGCCAGTATATGTTCATATTATATATGGAAATATAAAAGATAGACATGTATGCAAGAAATTATGAAGAAAATCACATAAAAACATATAGAATTTTTATAAGCATGTTGTTTTGATAAAGTTGCATTTTACTATGAGGATTTCATATATGTTGTACACTCATACACATTCTCTGGATATATGAATGTATATGTCATAATAATATATGCTCTTATAAGTGACACATGTGGGAACATCACTTGATAGGGACATATATACGTCATATATAGGTATGTAATATAGTAAGGCATAAAAAAAGTAATAGCATAAGTGAGGCATAAAACGTCGTAAAAACATCATAGTATAATACGTCATAGAATGGTAAGGCATAAAATGTTATTAAAAAATCATAGTATGTTAAGGCATAAAACGTCATAAAAAAGTCATACAATAGTAAGGCATAAAAAGTGATAGTATAGTAAGACATAAAACATCATAAAAACGTCACAGAATGGTAAGGCATAAAATGTCATCAAAAACGTTATAGTATAGTAAGGCATGAAATGTAATAAAAACGTCACAGTATGGTAAAGCATGAAATGTCATAAAAACGTCATAGTATGTAAGTCATTAAAAAGTCATAGTATAGTAAGACATAAAACATCATAAAACGTCATAGTATAATAGCGCATAAAAAAATCAAAGTATAGTAAGGCATAAAACATTATTAAAACGTCATAGTATAATAGCGCATAAAAAAATCAAAGTATAGTAAGGCATAAAAAGTAATAGTATAGTAAGGCATAAAACATCATAATTTAAACGTCATAGAATAGAAAGGCATAAAATGTCATAAAAACGTCATAGTATGGTAAGTCATTAAAAAGTCATAGTATAGTAAGACATTTTATGCTTTACCATTCTATGACTTTTTTATTACGTTTTTGCCTTACCATTCTGTAACTTTTTAATGACTTTTTATCTCTTACTATACTATGACGTTTTCATTAGATTTTTTATGCCTTACTATACTATTACTTTTTATACCTTACCATTTTATGACTTTTTTATGACGTTTTATGGCTTAACATACTATGACATTTTAATAACGTTTTATGCCTTATTATACTATGATGTTTTTATGACATTTCATGCCTCACCATTCTGTAACGGCTTTATGGCATTTTATGCCTTACTTTACTATTACTTTTTATGCCTTACCATTTTATAACTTTTTTATGACGTTTTATGGCTTAACATACTATGACATTTTAATAACGTTTTATGCCTTATTATACTATGATGTTTTTATGACGTTTTATGCCTTACCATTCTTTGACATTTAATGACGTTTTATGCC